AGTGGGGGATGTCCCTGCCCATGGCGAGAGGGTTGGAACTAGATGACCTTTAAGGTACCTTCCAACCCTGACAGTTCTATAATTCTATACATACGCAACCTTTGATCTTACCTGGAAGATGTTATCTTGTTCCTTCTAATGCTCTCTTCTCATAATTCATGATGACTTGGGTAATGAGAATGTTTAAGTGGCAGATCATGAGAAATAAGTTATAATTTGAGCAAGTGTTTCAGCTATTTTGGTCTGAAAAGAAACATAGTAGACTGTATTCACTTACTTTCAGGAGCAAATGGTGCTGATTGTCGTTACTTTTGAAGTGAATGTTTTCATTTTCTCAAAAATTATACTAAAAGAGCTTCAGCATTTTTAATGATAGAGTGAAATAGAGTACTTCAGTTGGAAATCTGGCCTTGAGCTCATGTCTCCTGAGTCTGCTCATTTTGAGTGAGAGAAGGCCACAGACAGTAACACAGGAGCAATGTAGATCATTTTACAAGCATGGTGAGATGTTCTCCCTACATCACCCCAAATTCAGCACCTGCTTAGGCCAGGTGAAAAGTGTCAGTGTCAGTCACTCCTCAAACTGTTTTTCTTTTTTTTGAGGGGATGGGGTGTGGGCGATGTGAGTTTGGCAACTGAGCTAAGGGCAACGTTTGAATAACAGCTTGAGCTAGGTACAGAGGGGACTGGACTGAAGAATCTTTGCTAAAGGAAGGATTGATGATGTGACCATTACGTTCTAGGTTTTTAAGCGAGAATTGATTAATGTTTTTCATCTGCTGATATTAAAGCCATTTACTCATTTAGATTATGCTCATTTACCAACAAACTATATTTTTCATTTTTGCCTCTTGTGCTGGGGAATGCTCTCAAGATTAGTTTAAGAATAAATCATGAATCTTGCTTCTGGTTAGTATGCCAATGATAAGCAGCGTTATTAGTGCTATTAATTAGGTAGTGTTTGCTGACGCCCACACTCCCCATCACTTAGTCATTTAGCTTTCCGCAGAGTTCTGCTGCTGAAGTCTGGGAGGCTGCCCACATAGAAAAACAAAAGCATGTGTCTGTTGCATGATTGAAGCCTTACATGTTTTTATATTCCTATTTGTTATTTATATGCCATTACGAGCTCACATGCCCTGCCTTTTTTTCCATCAGACCACATAAATATTTTATGTGCCTTTCAAATGAAGCTAATGCAATTAGAAATATAAAGTGCTTGTCATCGTTGCTATGAATTTTGCTTGTCTTCCTCTTTACATTTTCATGTTGGCCTGGGATGTCTGGAGATAGGCCACAGAAGTCTTAAATATGGAACATGTTCTAATAAGGTTTTCTTTTTTACTGCTTATTTTCACTAACATATACCCAGGCATTTGCAATGACTAACCAAATTCTGGTGGAAAAGTCGGTTGTTGGCTGGAAGGAGATAGAGTATGAAGTTGTGAGAGATGCTGCTGATAACTGTATTGCTGTCTGCAATATGGAAAACATTGATGCTATGGGAGTCCACACAGGTAGGCTTGGGTACAGGGTGGCTCACTGGAAATGGCTCTGACTTTTTTATGCAGGGCCTTCCTGCCTTTCTGTTACTGACGGAGCTTCGTGATTGATGAAGTGGGCCCTAGAAATACTCTTCAGATCTTGGATGCAGTCAGCTAGGGGTGGAAACAGATATTGTTAAGCTAAACCTACCCCGATAATCCCCTTTTCTGTAAGATTACCCGGCCTGTCCAACTCTAGGCTTCTCACTATCTGTGCTTTTCATCAACTGTGCATCCACAGTTGGTGAATGTTTGTGGTAACTTCATTGCTAGCAGTGGATTAGTAAAGAAAGTGACCTGTGTGGCTAGAATTTACTGCCACTAAGATGCTTCTCATATTCCTTCTCTGCTGCCTTGTGACAAACAGGAGATTCTGTTGTAGTGGCTCCAAGCCAGACACTCACTAACGAGGAGTTTCAGATGCTGAGGGATCGTGCCATCAAAGTTGTCCGACATTTGGGCATCGTGGGAGAGTGTAATATCCAGTTTGCTCTGCATCCAACTTCGCTGGAGTACTACATCATTGAAGTTAATGCCAGACTCTCGAGAAGTTCAGCTTTGGCCTCCAAGGCGACAGGGTAAGATTACTTAAAACCCCCCAAGTACTACAGAACAAGCAAATACATCAACAAAGACTGAGGAAAGAACAGAAAGAGAGAATTACAATAAGGGACTTGCATCAGTGTAGTATTTAAATAAGTGAGAGCTGCAAGAAGGGAGAATTCCTGCATCTGCTCTCCATGCAGTTAAGAGAAAGAGGCGCAGGCCTAATTTGCAGTGAGAAAGACTGAAGTTGGCTGTTAGGAGAGCTCTGGAGCGGTCAGATCAGTGAGGTGTGGATTTCTGCCCGGGAAGCTTCTGAGAACAGTTCTTGTCAGCATCTTCTGGGGTTGACCCATGGAGAGTCAGTCCTACTGGGAGATGGAAGAAGGGCCTTGTGAGCCCTCCAGGTCTGTTCCAGCCTGCCCATTCTGTTACTGCAAACGGAAAGACTCCCAGGAGGTGTGTGGTGGGGGAGCCTAATAGCTGTCCTTACAAAGCACATCCACTGTATCCATATGTTGACTGCAAATCATCTCTGGGACCCGGAGGACACAGTTACTAATGAACTGCCTGTCAGACTGATGCAAACGGTATTGCTGGCTTTGTTTTGTTGGCTAATCATAAACTAATCAAGATAAGGATGGTCAGAGCAGGCTGTTTGAAAATTGGCTTCTTAATTGCACTTTGCGGATACTGTTGAGAGGCAGAAATTAATCTCTAATTTGCAGTTCTCAACAACTCTTGTGGTGGTTGAAGTGCTGTGGCAGACTAGAGATAAGCCATCATGTTGAGCAGTGGGCATTTGATTTTTTTGATTTCTGGCTGATAGACTTGCAGGAAGACATTTCTGTTTATGTGATCTCGCTGTGGGTGTGACAGGTACTTAAAATGGTGGCTTTGCAGATAATAAAGCAAGTCCCAGATCTAGGCTCTACGATGTGTGAAGTTACAAAACTGGGCAGTTCCTGCTGTGCTTGAGCACAATAACCTTCCGTTGTATTAAGGAGGGAAAATCACCTCACATCTGTTTAATTTGATCCACTCCTGGGATTTGCAAAAGCAAAGTACTTCCCCCTCTACTGTTCTCTACTTCTTCTCTATGGCAGGGATCCATTAGCATTCATTGCTGCCAAAATTGCCTTGGGGATCCCCTTGCCAGAAATCAAGAATGTGGTGACAGGAAAAACCTCTGCCTGCTTTGAGCCGAGCCTGGATTACGTTGTTACCAAGATACCTCGCTGGGATTTGGACCGTTTCCAGCATGTGTCCAACCAGATTGGAAGCTCCATGAAGAGTGTGGGAGAGGTGTGTGAAAGACTCTTCTCCTTCCCTTCGGTTCCACCTCTTGGGAAAGTAATTTCTCTTCCTTGGAAACCCTCAGGGTATCTATCTTCAGGGACCTAACGGCTTTTGAAGATACTCATTCAGATCAAATGATTTTTGTCCAGCACATTAATTAATTTAAACGAGTTAGGACTGTATAATCTTGAATATCACAGTTTGGATTTGTAAATGGTTTGAGTCATAAGGGAAAAGACCATTCTGGATCGCCCGAGGCTGACTTAACAGTTAGTTGTTTGGGGTACTGTGGTGGTGGTTAATTAGAATATGACTTCAAGAGTTGTAGCATGTCAAGTTTTTCAGTGATGCCAATGAGCCACAGCTCTTGTTTGTTCCCATAGTTGTCTTCTCTGTTAAAACCATCTACCAAATCTCAGCTTACTTCTGATCTTGAAATCCAAACACAACTTGTAATCTTGCTCTGAAGTTTTGACTTATCATCATGATTAAGTCTCTTGTGTCTGGAATGTGACAGAGGGACTTTTAAACCTTGACTTTAAGGTGTCTAGCACAATAACAGCATTTTCAGACCATGTTGTAAGAGGAGAGAAATGAAGCAAAATGAGTAAATTACCCACTTAATTAGTTAATTATGTATCAGCTACCAAAGCAAAATAATTAATTGTGTATTTTTTTTGGCTGCCTTTTTTTCCTAATACTCTTCAAGCAGCTATTTTATTAAATTATTTTGACACGTGAGACCTTCCTAAGATCAATTTTACCTTGCTCAAACAATAAGCCTTCAGCACAACTGGAAGGATTAATTAATTAGAACTTGATTTTTCAATAGCAATGTTGGCTTTTAATAGAAATTAGTTTTTTGTGGGCTTTTTTTGGTGGTTTGAGTGCGAGGTTTTTTGACTTGATGGTTACTGATATTAACCCTCTCTGCTTAGTCATTGTAAGGTGTTACTGATATTAACCCTCTCTTTGGACTGCTCCATAGAGCTGAGGTTCCTAAATACAGTTGCCTTATGCACCATCAGCTGTAAATGCTTCTTGGCCATACACATTTGCAGGAAGTGTGGAGTCCTTCCAGTGGTTATATGTCAACAAGAGCAGAACTGCCGGAACCCCCCATCCTTGTCAAGGCAGGGTGCTGGGTAAAGGGAGGGAGGGAGGAGATAGAGGAAGAGCCGCTGCTCCAACTGTGTGGATCTATGACTGCGAAGGGATGAACTGAAAGCGGGTGGGGAAGCTTTTGAGCCTGATGGAGGTACTCAGCAAAAAGGTTCGTCTTCAAGACATGTGACTAGGAGAGGGTGTCTTTGAAGCAAAATGCTTCTTGCTGCTAGGTCTCTGTTGGTATGACACAGTCATCTCCCTGGGCCTGAACTTGAAGCCAGGTTGCAGCACCTACTGCTTTTCCATTAATTGAACAGTCTGACCTGGCCTGTTTGTTTGGGTTTTTTTTGTTTGTGTTTTTTATTATTTTTTTTTTGACCTGAGCTCTGTTGTGCTGAGCAGTGAGTCTGGTGCTGTGAGAAAAGAGAGAACAATGTTATTTTTTTTCTTTGACATTTTTCAACATTGTGTTTGAAAAGATTTTTGTGCTGTTAGGTTTTCATTGCACTGGGAAATAAAAATGTAAAAATTCGAGAAAGGGCTCTCTTGCCTTGCACATTTCCACTGAGAAAGGCTTGTTTTCTTATTAGATGTGATGTCAAGATTGAAGGAGGGAAACCCCAGTGTGGCTGTGCCAAGGAGGAGTAATCCTTTAAGAGAGCCCTCACAGGGGAGAGTCACTGTTAAATGTAATTTAAAGGGAGAGGAGCAGATTTCTTCTGAACCTTAGAATTCTCACAGTGCGTTTCTATCTCTAACAGGTTGTTAAACAGATATATCCTTCTGTGTTACTATACCCATGCTGCCGCATGATGCTTCCACCTACTAAAGTGCTTCAGAGCAGTTTACAGAAGAGAGCAGTGGCTTCCTGTATTTTACAGATAGGGACACCAAAGCAGCCACTCATCTGAAACTCCCTGTTGGTCATATTGGCAGAGTCAGGACTATAAGTGGGACTCCGAAGGCTCAGTCAGCTGTCTTAAAGCTGACAGGACTGTCATAGGGAGGAGGTCTGAAAGCTGTAATCTTTCTGTACGTCTGTTTTTGTGGGTTAAATTTGCACTCCTCTGTTACTCAGGGCACAGCTGGGCAGCAGCTCACCAGAGCTAATGCGGAAGTGCTCTTCCTTACAGGTCATGGCTATTGGACGCACTTTTGAAGAGAGCTTCCAGAAGGCCCTGAGGATGTGCCACCCATCTGTAGATGGCTTCACTTCACGTCTGCCCATGAATAAAGCCTGGCCAGCCATCACAGATCTCCAGAAGGATCTCTCTGAGCCATCCAGCACTCGGATATATGCGATAGCCAAGGTAAAAATACGAAGCCTTTGACTTCTATCCTTGAATTAAAGCTGACAGATTCTTAACCCCCTTGCTTCCCTGTGTCAAGCACGCTGGGACCACCATGTGTTGGAACCTTGCTGCTGAAATACAGATATTCTCTATCACATAATTTCCTCTGCAGAATGTAATGGCTGTTTGGGTATATGACTTTAATTTTCCCTGCTGACATCTGTGTTTTCCTGCATCTTCTGTATTCAGGTAATGTGTTTGCCGTTTGGTACAACCTTAGCCAATACTCACTGCATTCAGCAGCAGGTGCGTTCCTGAGTCTTAGTGCTTCAGTTTGTAGTTGAGTGTTGGTGGAGACTTGGATCACTTTCCTTTTTGTGTTCCTATAATATATTTTTTTTCTAAATATTGGCTAATGTTGAGCCCTGATTTACGCTAGTATAAGTGTAAGTCAAAGTTGGCCAGTTCTGCAGCTTAGCATTAATTTATAGGAAGGGAGGCAGGAAAAAAGAAAGATTCCTTTGAGAACTAAAATAAAGAGTGATAAAGAATGGCAAGCTTCAGTCTGAGAGCACTGTCTTTTTGTAATTGGTGCATTGGTGTGGGCTTGAAAGTAAAAAAAAATATAAATTAAAACTATGTTAAATTTAGCATACAGCAAATCCTCTGTTCTTTGAAATACACTCAGCTTCCACTGGCATTCTTTTAATCCCTCTCCTGTCACACCAAGCAAATCACTTTGTCTTTCAAGGTGTCTGGGCAATGGGGAGGTGTCACTGTAAAGGGAGCTAGGGTGTGATAATATTTCTTCCTTCAGCTCCATGCTGTTTGCCTGTGTATATCACGTGGTAAACATGGCATTAGTTACTTTGCAAGGTAGGTGCAATTTCACACTTTGGTTGTGCTGCAGCTAACTTGCCCATCTGTCCATACCCTCTGTGAAGAGGATGGGACAGCTGTCTTTTACAGCTCATACTTCATGTTGCTGGTTTGTTTTTGTTTTTAAGATTGCAAACCTTACTGACAGGGAATGCCCAGTTACTTTTTTTTGTGCTCCTGACTTTGAGTGGCGGAGTCTTTAAGCCCTTTGTGCTCGTGTATGGATACATCTCATTACATCCTCCACGTGAGTGGGGGGACCTGAGGCTGTGCTGTTTTTGTAGAAAGATTTTCACGTAGCTGTTCCTCTTATAAATGGCCTGAACGAAAAGCACAAGATGTTCTGTAAATGTGTGGCTTGTCCAGCTGTTGACTCTAGCTTTTCAAGCTGGGGAAATGTGTGTCTTCATGAGTGTAGAACATCCTCCAGCAGCTGTGCTTGGTCTTTATTATAGCTTTCTCTTGTGACTGAGAGAAAAATCTTGCTTCTTGTCTCTCTGAGTGGCTCAGAGAGCTTTTCTGAAAGGTTAATCTTAGCCCCATGTTAACGCAGGGGATCTGGGGAGATGAAGGTGAGTTTGGACCCCACTGAACACTCTGGGTGTTCCCAGCTGGTGGCATTTTCACTGGGAGCTGTCAAAAGAAGGAAGATCAAAGTCTTAATCCCTCTCTGCAAAGAGCTGCCTCTGTCTGACACAGTGCACTAATTCGTCCCCTTTAATAACTGGGGCAAGCAATATCAGTGAGAGGTACTTGTGGCAGCTGGGGCTGCTTGCCTGGAAATCCCTTTCCAGCTTGCTGACATTTAAAAGCTAAGAGTTAGTCTCCATTAGCCATCAGCTTCATTTGAAAGGGGATGGAGCTTCACTGGGTGTCTTGTCCTCCCCGCCAAGCCCCACCAGTCAGCTCTCTAAGGCTTTTTGCTTTTTCTCTCTCCTTTGTCTGTTGGATGATGAAAACAGTAACTGTTCAGGTGAAAGGGAAGGGAGTTCAGCTGCCATTCAGAGCTATTGCTGTTGTAGTGGGAATCCTGTGTTGTAAAGTAACAGAAGGCACTATGAGAAAGGGTGAAAGAGATGAGGCTTGTTTCTTGGCCAGAGTGGCGAGTGCTGCAAGCATGTAACTGCCTGATGAGCAGGGCCACTCAGGTTGTATCCGATCTTTTATGGGCCCCCTTAGGAATTGTGTGTGAGTGGCCTCAGAAGAGTTACGCTGTGGATTTGATCCACACTCGGTGTCACACCAGGGCTCTGATCTCCTAGTTGTCCAACCTACAGATGGGTGAGTTTGCACTTGTGCCTCTGTCCACAGCCAGCTAAATACTTGCTGTGGTGAGGAGCAGGGACGGCATTGAAGGAACAGTGGTGCTGGCCCTAGAGACAGCAGCTGAGTTGCCCTCCATTGCTTGGCCAGGAGAGCAGTCTTGCTCCCTGACTCACAGTGTGAAGGCAGTCCTGTAAACCCCTTGGCTTGGGGCCAGTGTCTACTGGACAGGATGCTCTTGAAGGTGAGCAAGGCTCTAAAGTCATGCTGTCGCGCTGTGGCTTTCTCCCATTCCACAGCGTGTCTAACTGTACTCTTTCAAGGTTTGAATAAAGCCATTGGAGTGCTGTCCAGAGTGATCATATTAGGGGGCTCTCTAGCATCTTCCTCTGAGATTTTTTTTTTTTTTTCATACTACAGTGTCCCATAAAACATTTTCATTTGAATAGTAACTCTGTGGGATTCCTTTTCACCCTGTGGTTGCACATAGTTTGATTAAAAAAACAAAACAAACAAAAGACCCGCAACTCCAGCAAGATAATGCAGAGCAATTTCAATGATCCTGACACTAACCTGAGATGGAGAGAGAAAAGCCTGAGTTATGCTGTGGCTGCAGTGTGTCACCCAGGCCTGGACTTGCCCTTGCTGCAGTGGTATTTTGAGGCCGTATGTTTTGATTCAGCCTTGTATTTCAAAGTTAAATCAAGATTTATGCTCCAAAGCAAGAAGTTCCTCCTCAGCTGAGAAGCTGGACCTTGCTGTTTAGCAGCTAGGAGGCTGGCAGTGGGTCTGATGAGATAGAGGCAACTGGAGTGGCAAGGGGTGCGGGTGAAGGACTCGATCCTGCAGACTGAGCACACCTTACTGTAGGTAGTTAAGGCACATACTGAGTGGCTGCCGAGCCTTGTTGCCATCAGTTTAAGCTGGCTCCATGAAAAGTAAATTCTTCCTCTCAGGCTCAAACAGAAACCAGCTTTTTGTACCAAAGCAAGTGTAGAAGTGGTTGATGCTTACCT